ACCACCCTTCGGCGAGGAGTCCATCCCCTTGCACTTAAACATCCCCCACGGGATTCTAACCTGGGAACCACGCAGGGTAACCAGGTGTGCCATGCCGAGCGTATTCCCAACACTTAACACAATGTGGCACATCGCCACTGTTTGTCGTTCATGGACTACATACTAACGAAAGCTTATAAAAATGACAAATTGTTGGTAGAAAAAATGATATATATTTCTAATATGTAAATGAGTTAAGATGAAGACAATTATCATTCATTACGTAGGTCCATAACGTGATTGAGATTGAATGACATTACAGAAAGCTTCGAGGTGGGCGAAAAAGTTTTCAGAAAATTTCTTCTCGAAAACTGACGTTTGCGCGAAGGTAATTTCGCGAGAATAGACTTTTGAAAAAGTATAAGAGAATAGAAGGTCTGACGGTACTACAAACCACATTCTCGTGAAATAACCTGAACCGAGATACGATGGCGAATGTTCAAACTTGTAAATTTAGCCCATAATACTGCGATACGAACTCCACACACTCACTATTTATATACAAAACGTTGTATTGCAAAAAGGATATACATAAATTTTGAAAATGCAATTGCGGCTATTGCGAGAGAGTAGGGATTTCTGGAGTCATATTTCCAATTACTCAAATTTGGGCGTGAAATTAATACACTCCCGCATCCGTATTATTCGAATTGATTTCGTATTGTTACTTATCGATCTCGACCGGTAAGTATGTTGATAAGTATTTGTCCCTTGTTACTTATCGATCTTGATCGGTAAGTATGCTGATAGGTATTTGTCTGTTTTTCTGTCTGTAAGATGCACGCGATATCTCACGGGAGCGAGGTTGAATCTGCTCCAAATTTTGCATGTGCATTCATCATATCTCGGACCAGAAGTCTATTGGTATTGGATGGATTATGTCGTATAATTGACGAGTTATTAATTAATAAGTGATGAGACACGCGGTGTTGCTATTGAGTCAAAGCGAAGGAATCGAAACCGTAGATCGATAAGTCGGTGGTCATCGATCGATATCTAGTTACTCATCGATCTCAATGAGAGATATTTGTCTGTTTGTTTCACATTCGTATGTTACGCGATATCTCACGAAAGCGAGGTTAAATCTGCTCCAAATTTTGCAAGTGCATTCATCATATCTCGGACCAGAAGCCTATTGATTTGGATGAATTATGTTGTATAAATAGCGTGTTATTAATTAATTAGTGATGGGACACGCGGTGTCGCTATTGAGTCAGAGCGAAGGAATCTAAACCGCGAGATCGATAAGTCGGCGGTCTCCGATCGCTCTCTAGTTTACTACAGTCGGTACAATTTGAAACGATGTCTCGAAAAATTTAGGAAATTTTTATTTCGAGAGTGTCTGCTATATCTAAATTGTCATTCACGGCTTGTTTGAAAGAGGATGTTGAATACAACACACTGAATTAGCAATTCGTCTATATCACTACTCAGTACAATTTAAAGCGATGTCTCGAAAATTTTCATTTCAAGAGTGTCTGCTATATCTAAATTGTCATTCACGGCTTGTTTGAAAGAGGATGTTGAATACAACACACTGAATTAGCAATTCGTCTGTATTACTAGCTTGTTTACTACAGTCGGTATAATTTGAAGCGATGTCTCGAAAATTTTCATTTCAAGAGTGTCTGCTATATCTAAATTATCATTCACGGCTTGTTTGAAAGAGGATGTTGAATACAACACACCGACCTTATTCATTAAAAACCCATCCTACGCGCAAAAAGAAAAGTGATGTGAAAAAAACAATTTTAACATTAGCTCTTATGGGGAAAGTGATCACCAGAGCAGAAATTTGCATTTTTTGTTATTTTCTAGATATCTTTCATTGTATACAACAATTTTAACATTAGCTCTTATGAGGAAAGTGATCACCAGAGCAGAAATTTGCATTTTTTGTTATTTTCTAGATATCTTTCATTGTATACGTGAGCAGTTTTGAGGATAGAATATTTTTTACATCCTTTTTGATATTTTTATCATGATAAATATGGTCAAGATTTTTTATAATCGTTCATTGAAATTTTAATGAGCGCGGTGTTTCCGATGACCTCATTCTCACTAGACCATGAGATTCTGCCAACACGCCGTGCTCTGTGGGATATGCGCTCCAACTGCTTGTGATAACAGAATACTAGTATACCGGTACCGCGACCACAACAGGCGCTCAACGAAAGAACTATTTTGGTTTTTATTGGATGTTATATATTTCATGAATTCCATGTAACTATGTACATTTCTGGCACACCTTTCAGAAACCAATGGCCTAACTCAGTTCATATGTTGACACCATGTACCTATCCCAGAATTGGTGATGTTCAGGGCTGGATTTAGACCATGAGAGGCAACTTCATATTTTTGAGCTCAGAATTTCTCTCTAAACAATACCACATGTCATTGCTTAAAATCTAAAAATATGAGTGCATTAAACTTTTCATTCTCCCTTTAACATAGAAACTTCCAGCAAAATGCGCATAATAATAATTTCCCTTTTTATGATGAAAACGACGCAATAATGGCTGTTTACAATGTGGTTGAAACCAGTTGTGTACAGAATTTTCTACTCTGAAAAGCTTGATATATATATATATACTTTTCGTAGTGTTTAAACTTGTCAAGTTTTCAAAAGAATTACAAACTTCGAAACCAAATTTCGAGGCTCTAGGTTTCAGCCTGCCTAGCCTATTGGTAAATCCAGCCCTGGTGATGGTCCCTACAGCAAATTTCAGGCCCTAATCACTCAGCAAATTGGAATAAATGGTTTTCAGCATTTATTGGCAAGGATAGGTATTTTAATTAAACATATAGTTCAACTTAAAGCCTGTATAATGATATTATAAATATATGTCCCATTATTACTGCATTGTGAGAAGGCTTTCCACACTATCAAGTCTATGAGGTTTTAGCGTCTTCCAATGTCTCAGATGGAAACTTCAGTCTTCATTTCGAATATTCTTTTCATTAATGCCATTAGCATTTGAAGCTTGACTGATTTCAATGTACCTTTTCCATTGTTGTTTAATGTAATATCCTAAACGTGACTTCAAATTTTTTTCTCACTTCAATCATCACATGTTTGAATACCCGAGCTGACTTCTACTGATTTGTTATTAATTTACAGTTTTTTTTTATAAATTAACTGTCGTACTTGCTAAGTGTCCACTAAGTGAAAATCTACAAAAAAATCAGTGGTTTAATAATGGACTACATTTTTAACCGAATCAAAAAATATTCCGTAACTTAGTCAACCCTTCCTCCAAGGAGATTTTGTTAAATTGTTCAAACATTTTGATTAACTGTTAATCTTGATAGCGAACATGGGGGGTTATACCGAATAACTGTGTGTTTTGTATATAATTTGTATTGATTCAATGCTTGTATTCTGGTTGACGAAACAAAAACTTCTCTCGTATTCAGTCATGTTTTTTAACCTAGTTAGGAGACCGGTATTGTACCATTATAGGTTGGAGATATTCATCTATTTTGTATACCGGTACCAACGACTAACATACCGACCGGTACCGTACAACTTATCCTGCCTATTGGCAGGCTGGCCAACATTTTTGTTCGTAGGCCTTTTTCAGTATTAGGATAGGATAGGATTTACATATTTATCCTGGGGGAGAGGAAAGCCGATAAGACGGCTTATCCATATGGCGAACCACGGCCTGTCGTCCGGTTACCATTCCAAGTCGATTGGGATTAGTTATATTGTTTGTTTTCGGAAGCATGGACTTGGTGGTGGAGGAAGCCGTAACTGACCAGCGGTTACGTGAACCACCCAACGACAGCGAGGAGTCCAGCAATCCTCTCGCACATAACCATCCCTGCATGAGATTCGAACCTGCGAACCCACGCAGAGTAATTAGAGGTGCGGTGGCGAGCAGCCCGTTGAGCCCTCTTGCAGTCACACACCTCTTGAGCCACACTTCTTGCCTCTCCACACCTCTTGCAGCCTTGGTACGGTACCGTACCGGTAGTTTAAATAACACGTCAGCATGCCTTCAGTAAATGATTGCTAGCTGTACAGGTATAAAAGCGTAAAACCAGTAAACAAACGTGATAGAAATGGTATGGGTTATAGATTGTCAATGTTAAACGCTACCAATGCCGGTACTGTACCCAAAGCGACATTAGCGCCGCTCTGCAGCGCATATTCATAGTCACTTTGATCCCACAGAGCACGGCGCGTTGGCAGAATCTCATGGTCTAGCTAGTGAGAATGACGTCATCGGAAACACCGCGCTCAATAAAATTTTAATGAACGATTATCAAAAATCTTGACCATGTTTATCATGATAAAAATATTAAAAAGATGTAAAAAATATTCTATCCTCAAAACTGCCCACGTCTACATTGAAAGATATCTAGAAAATTACAAAAAATGCTAATTTCTGCTCTGGTGATCACATCCCCATAAGAGCTAATGTTAAAATTGTTTTTTTTACATCACTTTTTTTTTTGCGCGTAGGATGTGTTTTTAATGAATAAGGTCTCTTGTTTACTACAGTCGGTATAATTTGAAGCTACGTCTCGAAAATTTTCATTTCTAGAGTGTCTGCGACGAAAGGAAGTCTAGATATCTCTGTCTAGTAATTACGCTCGCAAGTCGACTAATAAAACTTTTCGATAGACACGTAAGTGGTGTTTCTCGCGTATTTGAACGGCGGGGAATAACTCTTCATGGGAGATGTCAATCGTTGCACAGATTTGCGGGGGACATTGAGATAGTCAGTGGTACTTTCCATGATGTTAAGGTATACTTGAACTATACGCATTCCTTTCATTTTTCGTAAACACTCAACAACAAGTTTTTCAGTTTTTTGAACAGAAATTAAATTTTCTTCCACGGTTGGATAAGGGATTCTCGAAGTAAAATTTAAAACTGTAATTTTTGAATCAAATTCAATTCACCTATCTTATATATACAGTCCTTATTTCTGTGAACGGTAATATTTCATGTATTACTTTTTGTTCAAGTAGGTATTTTTCTGTTTGAAGTAGTCAATTTAAAATAACCATGTCATGGTTCAGGAAGAACTTAAGCAGAAAAACTAAGAAATCCGTGGCTTCTAACAAAAAAAACGATCAAGGCTGCAGTGAAAATCAGGAACAATCGGGATTCGAGATTAGCGACCAAAACCACAACAAATGGATCCGAGATGAACATTTGAAAGAACATGGTCATATCAGCGTCAAGAATGATTCAAGTAAAAATCATTTTTGGAAAATAGATCGAACATCTTCACAAAATGAGCCGAGTTGGACATTTGCCTCGCCTTCTGCAGATGGACAACTCTATGTAACCTACAACATGGATGAGGAAGTCACAATGGAAAAGCAGGGCGAAAAGGAAATGTAAATATTCTTTGTACTGTGATAGGAAAACATTACATTATTTATTTACATATATGAGTTTTGTAAATAAATATAAAAGTAACACTAATGACTGCATTTTCACATCTCAAAACGATCATCAGCTTTCAACACGATTCGTTTCTTTTAATGTAGTTTTTACACGGAGATACTTTACAAAATTACAATATAGAGCAGCGTTTCCCAACCTTTTTTGGTCGCGGACTATTTTCTCACCGGCGAAAATCTTTGCGGACTCAACGTGTATTTATTGCAATCGTGCTCTGTGTGAAGAAGTAATAAACCCAAACACAACGGAGTTTTAACAAATTTCAAAATTGGAAATTCGCCGCAATCACGCGTTTGCTAAAAGAGACGACTTTTTTAGTGTATATATGGCCTTTTCTGTCGCACAATATTCAATCCATGACAACGACAGAATTTAAAATGTCTTTCAATTTTAAGTTAATTGTGTTCATGGTCACTCGCGGTTGCGCTGATTTATGACAAGATGGAATCATAATTTTTTTTAAAATGCCACGGCAATCTGCGAACATAATAATGTGAGAGGATATCGCACGATCATATTTAGTTTTGATATATATTTTTTGCGATCTTGCGAATTTGTTATCGCCGTTAGAAAAATCCTACTATCTGCTATATATTTCCAGAAAGTACAACTTGATTTCGTACTTATTAAAAATATATTTAAAGTATATTAGTAAATCAAAAAAAAATATTCATCGCCTTGCTTTAATATTAAAATAATTTTGATCATTTTAATTTGCGGTTGTGTTGGCGAAATAAAAGCAATACTACTCAGAAACGATCATGACAATTCGTGGACACAAAAATGCGCGGTAATGTGCGCGATTATATTTTGTTTCGATTCGTATTTTTGTGAATTCGACAAATCTGAGCTGTTCGTACAACACTTACGGCGCTCCAGTACTGTACGTACTAATGTGGAGGCGATAAAGCAAAGAATCCCAAGGGAAATGCCCTGATACGTATACTACAGTAGAACCCGAAATTTGGCGATTTGCAATGTCTAAAAAAGCGTTTTTAATCGGTCGCGCACCATTATAAAACAAAACTTATGGTGTTCTCCGTTTTATTTTTAGTTTTTTGTATTGCCGCTCTCCAATTAAGAAAACATTTATACCTACCAGAAAAAAAAAATTATTTCTCGTTGTACCAGCTTGCGAGAAACACCACTTAGGCATCTATCCAGGCGTGTGCCGACTCGTGTTTTCGCCTGAAATCCGCAAGTGAGTTGTGAAATCCAATCGTTTGATTAAGCGACGCTCAAGTGACCTGTCGCGTCAAATTTTCGAATATTAAATTGCTATTCTAATAGTTGAATATTCGAATATATGCCCAGCCCTACTCAGTATCCAGTAATTATTGACTCCATTAATGTCATGTGAATAAACTTGCTTTTTATGTTTTATATAAATTTTAACGTAAATCGTAACTTGACTGATGGGTTTCGCAAAGACGTTTGCGACCCGCAGTGTATTTATGACTCGTTGCGGACTCATTTGAGATCGCAGACTCTGGTTGGGAAACATTGATATAGAGTCAGTTCATTGCATAGAGTTTTTTTTTGTTGTACAGCAACTTCACTATGTTATTGCAAGCTGATGGAAAATTGTTGTTTCGGGCTGAGTCCTCGCCCAACCGTTATCTTGTGCAAAATCGAGAAGGTCAATTAGAGATGAAAACAACTGACAATCCAACTGATGAAATGGAATGGATGATCAGCTATATCGAACCGTCATTGGGAAAACCGAGGCAAGAAGTTTGGCTATAACTCACGCTGGGCCATATTTACTTCAAACAATGGCGCCTTCTTATTTTAATTCATTTTTTAATTTTCCAAACGATATATATATATATATATATATATATATATATATATACCATTGATCCCAACCTATAGAACGTCCAAACTTACTCACAGCGGTGTGGCGACTATTGGAAATTTTTGGATCATAAACATAGTTTACGATTCATATGAACAGAGTCTTTGATACTGATCAATCAAATCATATGTTTTTCTTTTTCAGTTTGGCGTCATCGTATAGCGCACAAATAAGACATGGTACCGAATCCAAGAAATGGTTATCTTCTGGTCCTGCCAATAACTATCATGTCCAACAAGTACAAACTAGTGCGACACAGAATTGGACAATCACACCCAGTACCGGCCACATTTTTCAATTTTCGTCCGGCAGTTGTCACATCACTAAAGATCTAATTTTTGGAGATTCCAGCAATGCGGCGTAAGATATTTATAATTGTTGTGGTTAGTAACTATATTATATATAATAGCAAACGAAATAACCAGTATTTTTGTGTCGAAACAGAAAATTCGAATCTACCAAATCGGGATCAGGAGTTACACTCCAATGCACCGACAACAGAAAATACATTCATGGTCCAGAAGATGATGGGGATTTGGAATTGAATACAGCGAAATCTAAAGCTACCGCTTGGGAGATGCCTATTAAAAACGCTATATTTATTGTTTGTAAAAAAATCCTTCTTTCCGAAATACCCATCCAATTACCCATGGATGTCTGAAGTTGGTTTTATGGCCCACCGACAAAAAATGTTGCCCACCTCTGTTCTATTTCATTATATGGAGTAATATTCGCGTATATATTGTATATTTCTACGAAATAATTGATTGATGGTTACAGAGAAAGTTAGATATATATATTTGTATTTTTCGTCAATAGGAGTCGTCTATTTGGTCATTTTAGTGTGCTATTCAAGACCGTGGTTTTGTGAAAATGAGTTGTCAATTAGTGACCATGAATATTGTGACCTTGTCATATCCAATAAATACAACCAAATGCTGCATGTGCTGAGTATATTTACGTTGCAAAATTAAATAGTTTTTGAGCATTTGGCTTGAAGAATCGATAAACGTTGTTTTTATTCAGTTCCAGAATTAGGGAGGAATAAATAATTTTTGCCAAAATTATGGAATACAATAATTTTACTACTGAAAAGTGGCATCCACGTGAGGTACTTAATACAAACTCGTGCCAAAACCGTTTAGCTTCAAAATCAACTCATCATTACTTTTTGCAATATGATTGCGATATATTATATGTGGTATATCTCTACAACAGAATAAAAACTAAATTGCAACAATCAGAAGTATTATGTATTAAAAGGTTATAAATATTCTACAAACTTGAATGTAACAGCATCAGTCTATTCAGCGTTAGGTAACGACGACAAAACGCGTCGGATTGTTGTTGCTTTCTTCGGAGCACGAACGAGCAGTCAATGAGCAATTTGCTTCTTATATGGAGAGAAACTTTTAGAGTTTGACGAACCAGCAGTAGTAGATTTGTAAGTATTTCACGTTTAAGAATAAATCAAAAGACAAATATGAATAAATATCAATGATCAGCTTCGTTATAGAACATGATATTTGATCAGCATTATTTTTGAGAGCTTGGATTGAAATCTTGAGCCAATTTGTAAATTAAACTGAAATAAAATATGCTTGCACTTTTTAAATGTTATATGTAGCCTATATATACAGAATGTTGTTGTCACAACAAATATCGAACTGCTGCACTGAAAAGTTCCACCTTTGTTAATTCCGTTTACGCATGGCTAAAGGTATCTAGATGATTTACAACACTTGCCACATTATTACATTAAATAATCAAAGGTACTTCCCGTGATGTTGCGGTATAATTCTACACATTCCAATTTTGTACATGGAGTGAATATGATGAATTGAATCGTTTTGATAGATTATAACTGTTGTAAAAAATGTCTTATCACCACAACCCTTGTGCTAATCTAATTGATTTCAAATTTGCAATGCTTAAAGATGGAAGCAGTCGCTATTACGATATCTTATTTTTCCTTTGAATCTTACGTGGCCTGATATCTACCCCAAATATTTTTCGTTCCGTTTTAATCCAGGTGAACATTTTACATGAATTATGGAAACATTTTTACATAATATTTGACTTTCGTGTCCATATTATCCAACACGCTTCCTCGTGTCACAAATGGTTGAATCCCGAGTCTTTCGTAAACAAGCTACTTGCACCAAGCGATTGCTGAACACGACTAGGAACTCCTGGGACACTAGGAAAGAGTAGTTGAAACAGCAATATTCTGGATTGTCGAATGTTAATTCAGGATATAAATTTAGGGATTAACCCTTTCCATGCGGTGGGCACGTATACGTACCAATGACAAAACTCGCTAGATTGCGGCGGGTACGTTGATGTTCTCCACTGTTTTATTTAGCAATCGGTCGCAAACTGTTGTTCTAGTTTTTCCAGGTTTTAGTTTATTGATAAGAAGTCTTCTTCGGGATTAACAAAAGCGACGGTAAATTTTGATTTAAATTGTCTGGCGCAAAAGACTCAAATTGTTTAAAGCGCCATATATTACCATACCACACACACACACGACGAGAATTTGCGGCGGAACGAGGGAGTGTTTTTTAAATTTATGCGAATTTCGGTGTTTTTTGGGTGGTAATAAAAGACATTTTATCCCTTCCATCTACCAAAGTATTTTGAGTTAGATCACGAAATTGCTACAGCAATATTATGTGCTATTGTTTGCCAACCACGAAGCGGTAACAGTAAAGGATTTAGCGAATATTTCTATTTTTTATCACGGTTTGAAGTTTCAACTGCCAAGAAAAAAAATGTCTTTTTCTATCCGGTTTGTGACTCAGACCACCACTTTTAAAAAACCTTTTTTTTTTAATCGTCAATTGCAAACTCTTTAAATAAGCTTTCCAACGAGCCGTCAGTGGGCAGCAGAGGATCATTAGTTTTTCGTTAGTCGATCGATTAGTTGTGGGGGTAGAAATGCATAAAATCGGCGTAGCAAATACGATTATTTGTTAAAAAATAAAAATCGCATGGAAAGGGTTAAATTCACATATATATTTCCTAACCTACTCCCGTAATTTCTCTAACTGTGTCGTGTCCTATGCAAAGTTGGAAACAATAAGATTTTCTTATCTGTAATTTCTAAACAATTATTTTCTGTCTGAAGTATTAAATTTGAAAAACAACCTTGTCGCGCTTTGAGTGGATTAGCAAAAAATTACTTAGAATAAACTTTGACGTTTTGCCTTAATTCCTTAGGTCTGCATGTTTGAAAAACGTAAACGACCGATGAAATAGAATGGATGATCAGGTATACGTTATATCCACGCATATGCTGTACATACCGAGGTAAGTATTTCAGCAATAACACAAACTGGGCAACATTCGACGTCAACGCCGGCGGGTGAACAATCTTTAACAGAATATGAACGTACACATTGCGAAGCTATTGATCAGAATATTTTACATATTGACAATATATAAACATAGTATATTTTATGTTTAAGTAATTTACAAAACTTTTAACCATATATGGTTATTAATATTGGATATTGTGTTTCTCTCTCAATCCACCATCGCGGTATAGTACACGGACAAATCAATACCACGCAGAACTGGACAATTGCGCCTAGTACAGGCCACGAACCCGCTGCAGTTCTCGTCTGAAAGCTGGTATATCACTGAAAATATAGTTGTTGGAAACCCCGCCAATGCAGCGCAAGCCATTTAAACTCCTATTTATTCGAATTCCTTCCGGTGACTTTAAATTTAAATTCACTTGATTGACACAGTTCTACACAAACTCACTTTAACAATTCAAAACATTCCACTTTTCCATAACGTCACAGTCAGCCGTCGTCGTATTGCACCCTTTCAACTCGGGGTTGCAAGCTTGGTACCGGTACCTTGCAACCAATAAATATGTACGATAACTTAAATTCGCCTGGGCCTCTAATGAATACACCCCAAAACAATATCGTCAGATGGCGGAGTCCAGCAATCTTCTCGCACATTATTATCTCTCACAGGATTCGAACCCGCACAGACTGACGCAGGATAATCAAAGGTGAGATGGTAAGCGTATTCCTAATTCTCAGCACAATGGGCCATCCTCCGCGCCCAGTTCGAGAGCCAATTGACTTAGATATATCGAAATCACATCCAATTCACTCGTTTGGTCCTATTAAAAATTTATTAGATCTCCCTGATCCTCCAGGCAGTATTCGTGATAATAAATTATTCAGTCAGGTTACTTTCTAAAGTATGAAATCAAAAACTATTTATAGAAGAAATGCCCAACCTTCACGACAGACTGGGCTTCAGCGTGGAAACTACCAGAATCTGTTACCGGAACTCGAATCTCTGCCAATGTGATTCTTGTATTTGCCAATTGCCAGGATGCAAAATCCCCACAAATTTACGCTATATATATATATATGATTGCTTAATGGATACTCTGACTATTGGTCACGTCACACAAACAAACAAAAATGCACGGTAGAGCATCAAGTTATTTCACGGAAACTAAATCTTCAGACAATATGCAAGAATTCGTTAAACCCATTAGTGAAAATATTGTAATGATCACTATCACCAAGAAATATATTCTCAGAATATTTGCTAGGTTTACTTTTACTTCTAAATGCATCATGAATGCCAACAGATTTATTTTATTTAATGATGTTTTGATGAAGACAAGTAGGGTTTTGCACGAATCGATTCTCGTGGTCAACTCCAAGTAATTCCTAGCAAGATAAAGCAGAGAATATTTAAATATGTTAACCACACAATAAATCCCTGGGAGAACGTAGAAAATGGCTTGTTTGCGAGCAAGACCCAGCCATTGGTGTCGTGCTTTATTTAGTCTCATCTTTGAACCAAATACTAAACATAACTCCACAATCATACTTGCTGATGAACAAAAGATGATTACACTTGAGTCTCATCACCACCTTTTTCAGTGTTCTTTGCTCTTGCAATTATTTCTCTATATTCCCTAATTGTGATCTTTTGTGGAATAATTTCTAAAAATGATAAAATTGGAAATATAATTAAATTGCAGTTATTCCTCACAAAAAAAAAAATACTAGGCAGTGGCACAGCTTAAAGATACAACTGTCTATTCATTACTAAACATGGTGCAATTCAGTATAAGTAAAAAATCGTTATTAAAGTGGAGTGTTGGAAGTTTGAACATTCAAAATTTGCAACATTCGAAAACACTTGAGTTTATTTCACATGAAAAAGGATCCCAAGATGTAGAATGTGGTGGCAGAAAATAGTTTTATAAATCTGATGAAATGTTTACTAGTAATAATTTCAGCATATTTCCAGCTTTCTCAGGATTCAATTATAAAGGGTGTGTGGGATTAAAATTTCACCGCGATATTAGAATTTCTAAACATGCTGTTTGAATAAGATAATGTAAATTTAATTTTGAGATTAGAGAATATACTATATGCTAACTGGTACCCTAGAAAAAGTAAGCAACCACTTTATACAAATATATGCGTTACCAACATACTGTTCTGTTTCAAAACGTATTACTTAGTTTGTAAAACTCTATAAAAGTTAATATGAATATTCAAAAACCTTGAAGGAAGCCCAGAATGTCATCATCATCACTGTTAACAATATTAGCAAGGTGACTGTATTCTAAAGTTTTTCTATTATCTTCTTTATAATAAGCCTGCGCAGTCAAGTATGTGACAAAGAGTTCCTGGAAAAGGGAATGAATAAATATTAGAATCAGAGTCATACTTTTAAAGGAGTAACTTAAAATCTAAGATATCTACTATTAGATTGTATAACATAAGACGAAAGACCGCAAAGAGAAGTCTCACTGTTTAGTTCAGCAAATAGAAAGTCAAGTTTAGAAAATAAATGAGCTGAAGTTTGGAGACTCATAGATACATTGTGAATCGCAAAACTTTTTGCAGGTAAAATATTGATATGCCAGAGCTGGGAAGCGGAAACAAATTCAGATTTTTTAGTAGCTTGAACAAAGCTAGGAATCAAAAAAACTTAATATTTTACTCATATTTCATAGAAATTGGCATATATGCAATACGAAAATCATCAGCATAAAATACCATATATGAATCATTGTGAAGTCATAATTGATAGAATGAACCCTCACAACCAATACCAGGAAGTTCAAACCTGTTTGAACTGTTGCATAAAATGCAGCAATTATGACCATGCACTTAAATTGCATCATTGTTTTATAGCAGATTGCCCCACTGATATCTTAGTTTAAAAACAATGGCAGAACAGTACAAGGTGTTGTGTAACAATATATGCTCATCCTTAAACTAAAATGAACAGAATTAGCAAAATAGATAAAAAATTATTAGAATGTTTATAATCTAATTATCTTGACATTAAATTATACCTTCAGTTTGCCAATCTGACATTGGACATTCGAATGTACCCCAATACGGTAGGAATTGTAACTAGGTATATGACAGCCAAATTTTAACATCTCAGGAATACCGCACGGCACACAGTTGTACTAAAATGTATCAGTTATTGAAACTATAAAAAATAGAAACTAACTTACAGCAGCTTTAGACATACAAAATGCAGCATCAATGCCAATGTTTTCAACATCAGGTGAACTTTTCATTATTGTTTTGATTTTACTCAATGGTAGACGAACTAAGTCTTTGCTGGGTGATGTCATAGACATTATGTTTTTATCAGACTATAGAATACATAAATATTAAAAATTATTTTGATTACAATATATAAATATTTGATGTAAAATTCAACAAAAATATTTTGGCATAAGGTACAAATAATAAGTCATCATTATTGATTACAAACACATTCAATTGTGAGATTTCATTTACAAACAACGAAACAAGTATGTTCTATATTAATAATGAATTGTCACAAGGTTATTAAACACAGTTATTTTTTTATTTCACTCAGAAATATATAAAGGAATTTCAAAAAATTATGTTGGGTAAAATTGTAAGCCCATATGGCTGTTGTGCAATTTGAAAGAATTGGCAGCAAGTGATATAAATAAATATACTTCAGATAAGGCTTTCAAAATCTGGATTGTCATCATGCAAGTATCATGCAAAATTCTTAGTCATATTTTAATAAAAACGTCAGTCAAAGTATTAATTTTCCTGTGGTTGGAAATTTGGAATATTAGATTCATAATGGTATAAAGTCAAATCAATTGAAGAGTTCTTAATTAACGTCTATAAAATAGGTCAGGAATACATCAAAGTCTACACTTTACATTATCATAATTTGGTTTCAACAGTTGATCAGAGTTGATTGAGTAGAACTCAATCTGGAAGACAATGTAAAAAAATGTTTCCACTTTGATTCAAAATCAACTGTTTTTTCAACTCTGAGACAGGAATCGATTGCACATCTCCTATGACTCCAGAGCCTTTATGTGAACGATTTGTGTATTGTAATAATTGATGCAAAACTTTACAGAAATGCAAGTTAATGTATCACACATAAATATAATATAGAAGCTAAATTTCAGCAGCAGTATGCATAAAAAGTCTATTGCAATTAACTTGATAATGATAACACTGCAAGTGAAATACACATGTGAATAGCAAGCTAGTTGAAAATTACCTAATACAGTGATTAATAATGAAACCTGATTTTACATTATTTACAAAAATAGTCATTGCATTCTATATATGACTGCAGACCACCAACATCAAATCTACCAGATATCTGGTAACTGTGGATATTACACTTTGCGATGAGGTATTTAATAAGATGGCCAGTTGCATCTTTCTCCTTCAATGGTGAATGTTTTCTCTCATCGAGAAACTGCTTAATGAACGAACTACAATCAGAGGAAAGAAGATAGAAACATGGGCAAGCAAGTCTTGATTTTGTTTCACAAGGCTGTGGTTTCTCAATCAAACTTTTGACTTTTCCATTTTGGTCAACTTCCAAGATGCCATATTTTGTCGTTTCATCTTCTTTGCATGTGTATGTTGTAACCAAACCACAATTTTTGGTATTAGATTTTAAATCGTTAAACTTCGATACAAATTTCTCCATATCAAAATCATTATAAAATAAAGTATCACCACCAATGATTAATACATCATCATTCTCCAATTTAAATTCTTCAATAGCAAAGTTGATACTTGCAACGGCTCCCAACCTATCTTCATTACACGTTGTACCATCATTTAATACAGACAAGCAAGAATCATATTCCTTAACAAGTTTTTGAAATTGTGAATAAAAACGAGAATTTGTAGTCATATAAAAATGTTCAAATTCATCATTTTCTGCTAAAGAATCCATCCAATGAGCAATAAGTGGTCTGCCTCCGATAGGAAGCATAGCTTTAGCCACTCCAAAAAGATCTTTATGTTCCTTGCTGTTCAGTAAATCCCTTTCCAATCTAGTTCCATATCCAGCACATAAGAATATAACTTTAATTCCCATGCTCAATGTTTAGTTATATAATTTTTCAATCTAGAACGAAAGTGCAATAATTTGAAATGACAACAGAGTAAATAATGTTAAACAATAATATATCATATATCACAATTATGAAGATTCAATTTTACATGAAATATTGTAAAACACATAACAAATTTGTGACTTGATCTTAAGACATTGCAAATAAGTAAACATCAAGCCAGAAATCCCCCTTTACAATATGGTCCTTTTTATTCTGAATTGTTAGTTGGATGATGCAGCCTCAAGTGGCATAAATCAGGATCTTATGGTCAATTATCGATAATATTAAATTACTGAAATTCTGAGTAACACATTCGTTTTGGAAAATAGGACTTTAGGTCCCTGAGTTCTTTGGGCATTCTCATTTTTAATGAAATGGTGTGCAACCTTCGTACACCACCAATTCGTGAACACTAGATATATGACAGGCTTAACTGAAGCCAGAGAGAAAAGTTTCAAGCTTACAGACTGAATTACCTACATTAGCATCATTACAAATGAACTCAATAGCCCAAGTTAACACTTGTCTGGGTTCTCATTTCTTCTCTAATAATATTGTGTAACTAATTTAAAACAATGCTAGTCTTGATGCAGGCACAAATTCATTTATAAAGTGAAAAACAATAGTAAATGCTTCACTACCAATAATTTGAATAAAAAAAATATATTCTTGGTTTTTTACACTTGGGTGCTAATTATATAGCATATGTTTCATTTCACCATAGAAATGGAGTTTATAGTATCTTAACACAATATACCGTATTTGCTCGTTTAATAGCCCGGGCGCTTATTTTTTTTAAACATACTCACTAACCGGGCCTTTATTCAAACCGGCCCTTATTCAAGCAGGGGCGCTTGTTATTTTTAAAGTAAAATTACACACAAAAATACCGGTAGATAAGATCGATCGTTACAATAATTAATACCGTATATTGTCATTTCCAGTTCTCAAGTATGATTTAAACGAGAATAATGAAAATTTTGACTTTTTCTACGCACCGCAGGTACAAATCCGCAAGAAAAAAAAAAACTTTTACACCGGGCGGGTATTCAAGCACCGGCCCTTATTTATTTTCATGTCCTGTTCTCACGGGCGGCTATTCAAACGGGCCCTTAATCAAGACCGGGCGTTAAAACGAGCATTTACGGTAATTACTTTCTAAATATGGGAGAAAAGTATATATCAGGTTTTTATACATGATGTAAGATATACTTTCAAATCTCCACCATTTCTGAGTTTGAAAAAGAGATTGAATTACTTGGTAATTTGATAGGAAAAGTTGACTCTCCTAAAACAAAGATGAAATAGGATCAAGGCTTTTCAAACTGGGGATCCAAACCCCCCGTTGGGTCGTGAAGAAGCTCAATGGGGGTCGAGGAAAAATCTTATTCGACAATAAACAAAACATCGATCAAATTTGGACCCAGTACCGGGACCCACCATCACCGAAACGGAGCTAAGATTCGATCTATTGTGCGAGAATATACGAGCCCATCGGTGTTTTTTTTTAATTTTCTGTTTTATTTTTATTTTAGTTCTTGAAGGTCACCAAAAATTTGGCCGTGTCAAGTGGGTGGTGATGAAAAAAGTTTGAAAATCACTAAATTAGATAATGGACATAATACAGAATAATTACATCCTTAAACAGAGTTTTAAGATTCATTGTATTACTATGAAAAAACAGATCTTGGGTAATTTTACAATATATTTGAACTTTATCAGCCATGTATACAACAACAGTGGAATAACAGTAGGGGAATATCAGGCAAAAAACAACAAGTTTATATAAAAAAAAATTACAATTGTAAATAAGATAGAATATTAATAGTAAATACACAAATAGTAAAATTCCGCATGCCCACATAAAATGAATGAAAGCTACATAATAGGTTGAAATAATTTACCAATTTATAGTACACTAACTGGGGTGCAGCAGCATTTTCGTATAAAATGTCGTAAGATGCCAGAGCAGTCACAGTGGCTGATTAGGGCTTCTAGTTGATTCATTATAAAGTTCTACATATCCACTAACCTTTTACAAAAATATTCAATGGATATTTGGCTGTAAAGCAAAGTTTAGATTCAGAATAACACATGATGAAGCTGGCAATAGGACACTGAAGTGCGTAAAACTTTTCATTCCCTATTTGGAATAACCAATTAAAATCACTGTGACAAATTTCAGAAACATTAGCGATGCTTAAAAAAACTTACCATAAAGCACACTGGTTTGACGCTCATTACAGTTAATGGTCGGACATTGTAAACTGTTATTATGAATCAGAGCATGATTTTACCAGAAACGGACATAACTCAATAGAAATAACCTACCGTAATATGAATTCTTACTTGATTTACTATTTTATCATAATGGTTAAAATGACACAAACCAAGGCAGTACAACCACATAAGAGTATATTATATGATAATCATGTTTCCCTTAATTATCAAGTTTAATAATATTGATCAATTTTTATGATATCTTCCATTGCAAAAATAAATAAATATTGCAAGATATAGAAAAATAAAAACAAAAAGTGGACCACCGTTGACAATTGACATAGACACGAATGCTTATATACAACACCAGGCTTCAATTTAACAGGGAAAAATAGAAATGTTTATTCATTGGCTACTAGTAATAAAGACCATTCATGTTCATATAGAGTTTCATGGCCCATCTATTCTTTCAGACTCAAAGCTTCCAAAGATAATCATTATGAAATAAATTCACAATTCGACTATATTCACAGAAAATTCAAGGTGCCTTTTTATTGAATGTAGTGGGGAATTTTGAAGTAATTGTATTTGGAAATGAGGGACCATTGGTTGACGTTGGTGACAACGTAGGGCTTTGTCCAGTTGAATCTTTATTTCTTGATGATGTCAATGTAGAAAAGGTCTTATGAAGCCAGGTGTTCTTAGATGACTGAAGATCTTTTAATGCACTAACAAGTTGGTGTTCCAGATCCTGAACTTTACATTCGGACTCTACTTTTGAAAGTTTAGTTTGAGCTAATTCTAACTCGAGGTTTCTAATTTGTTGCTTGAAAGCTTCTTTTTCATTCTCCGCAGCCTGTAATATATCATTTTCTAGTGGTTCTGGGTTTGTAGCATTTTCTATTCTCATTGATTTTGCTTTATCCAGTTCACGTTTGTGTTGATTTTGCATTTGTTCAATCCTTATACTAAGTTGCGAAGTAATGGTTTTATAATCATTTATGATTGTTGATTTTTTCGATATTTCAGTTTCTTGTCGTTCCATTTCACGTCGACACAATTCTTTCGCTTGTTTCGTTTCATTTAGAAGATGTTGATTCTCATCGGTAAGTTCTTTAACTCGTTCTCTTGATTTTCTTAGTTCATCGACAGATATTGTGAGATCATATTGCAGACTTTCAGCATGTTTCATTGTTTTCTGTAACTGTGTCTCTAGTGTGATCTTTGTTGTTATTAGCTCATCAGCTATTTTCATCATTTTCGACTTTCTAATCTCATATTGGCTTTCCCATTAATGTCGATTGTCTCGTTCGATAATTGCATGTGCGTCACCTTGTATTAACTTTTCTTGCATGTTTTCATACTCTTTATTGTATTCTTTAGTTTTTTGAAATTTATTTTATTTGTGGTTGTTGTATTGACAAGCTGGGTCGTTATTTTCATCTAATCTATATTTTTTTGGTAGTGAAAACTCTGAAATATTTCAAACGCCTTCGAAATCGTGAGTATAAAAAGGTCTTGCCGACAGCATTTCAGCAAACTGAAGAGCAACTTTGAAAATCACAATTTCCCCTTCACTAGAAACAAGTCAATATTCTATACACAGTACTCAATGGAAATTTTGCTGTGAACAAGTCAAGAACCATTGGCTTGAATACATGTGAGCTTCAATTTGCAACTGTTTAAAATGATCATATAAATCAGGCATTAAATCTTCAATTGCTCTTTCAAGTTGATAGAATTTCACATGAAGTGTTTCAAAACCATTTTTGAATAGCTCTCTCATTTTGTAGTCATACATTATTTTACAAAGGACCCAAATGCTTGTTCTTCAGGCATATGCAGCAATAACGCAGCAGCCAGGAATGATAATCCTTGACAATATCCAACTTCCGTGTCATATAACGAGTATGCTTTGCTTATTTTATAGAGCGAATCCTGTCCCAAGCCACCAGTTTCCTTGAAAAAGTCATGGGCTGGGAAGGTGCGATGTATATCACGTTGAATAACAGCTTCTTGAGGCGAATCTTTTGAAATCAAAATGCGATAATTTTCTAACATAGTATCATTATCGTAGCAGCCAGCAAGAAGTTGCCAAACTTCCCCACGTAAAGCATTCGGAACTCCTTTTCTAACAAGTTGTTTTAAGCCAGTTGGTCTCTGCTTGAAATCCGCTCTCCATCGCTGTAGCACATCTCCCCAATCAGTTAATACATGCTCTGAGTAATCAGGCACAACCTCTCCTGATCCACTTAAAAGAGGTTCATCTGTGTCATCATCATCTTCTTCATCTCGGTGTGACGTTGAGCTAAGTGTTGGACTTCCAACATCAATATGACCCATTGAATAGCCTGGGGTTCCTGGTGTTGTCCCTTGTGCAAGACGTTGTAATCTTTTTGTTTTGGTCTCAAGACTTACAATCCCATATAATTGCTTTGACAATCTTTTATCTTGCACTTCTTTCAAACGCAAATAAAATGTTTCTTGTAAAACTTTTTTGCCATAATACCAAAATTTGTCATTTTGTGGAAAGACACGAGCCTTAGTTTCTAATAAAAATCGCAATGGCTCTTGAATTTCCTGCACAACTAAGTCCACAGCAACACTAATAAAAACTCTGGTGCCTTTCTGAGTCTCCTCATTCAAAAGAGAAAAATGTGAATGGGTCGGATCCCAAGATCCGCTGATAATATGAGAAGCGATAACTGCTCCACTTTCTGAATTTCCAGATCCAGTTTTCATTGATTCCATATCAAGTAAATGCATATCACTGTGACGAACATTTCGACCTGGTGCGAGCAACAACCCGAAACACCGTTCAATGGTTAGTTCAACATTTGATGTTTGAGTTACAGACATTACAACGAGTTTATCAACATTTTTTCGAAGTTTAAAACATGACGAAGCTTTATCCCAAGGAACATTGGCATAACCTCCTTTTAAATCATTTTCTCGAATTTCTAATGTAACATTAAAACAAAACACAGAATCATCAAAATCCATGGATGGATCATCAACACTGGACATAGAATGGGACTGAGGAAACACTTCCGATGGTTTCTTACTGTCCAAAGACTCGGTTGAATTTTTAGGAATGCTACGAAATGCAAGCTCAAAACTATACAGAACTTTTTTCACTGCATCAGGCAATTCACATCGAAATACGTGACATTGAAATATTCCCGATTTTTTGTGAGCTTCTGTGAAAGCAAAACAGTCTCTTTCTGGCTCTGAATCCAGACCACGAACACAAAATAATATTTTATAAATCTCAAAATGGGCAATTTCTCCAGAGCCAGTGGGATCCAAAAGTCTCACAATACCATTAGCAACATTAGGAACAGATAAAACAACATCAATAAGCTTACTTGGTGATTTGTCGCCATGACCAGTCTCATTTTCTGGTGACATCTGCTGATTTCGTAAAATTTTGATTGTACGCAAGGCTTCAGCTTCACTGCGCGGAGCATTGACTGAAGCGCATCCCAGATAATTAATTCCATGAAACAGTATACAATCTTCATCGAGGTAGGACTCTTTTTCAGAACGCTCTTGTTCTTGTTCAATCTCCTGGGTATCAGTATGCCCGTGTGAATTTTCGGGGGTGTCTTCCTTTGATAATGGCTGATCTTCCTGATTTATTTCCGTTCTTAAAAGCAAATTTTTCGGCCGAACTTGACCTTTATCGTGATCCTGTTGTTCTTCCAAAACATCGTTAGATGTATCAGTAGCGTTTTCCATAACGATTCCTTCCTAATATCATGCCAAACTACCGGTAGCGTTGGGCGACAAAGGCAGCGAAAACGGAACGACGAGATCGCAATTCGCAATCACTGAGGTAACTTGCAGAATCACATCGCAGAATATCGATTTCTGGTGGTGGGAGTCTAGTTTAAGTTTGAATTTAATCAGGTATAAGATTTTTAGATAAATATTTGTGACAATCGGTCGATTATGCTTTTTGTTTTATATCAACGCGTAGCCTACAAGATAAATTATAGTTATGATTTTCAATATTTTTTATCAGATAATTACATGACCAAAGCATAGAACCTTGGGTGTCGCTGCTAGATAACCAGCTTTGGTTCCCCGCGCTTCCCTTCTCCATTAAAATTTGAATTTAACATTATTTCTTTGAACTTTGCATGTTATTTTCTTACTGGATAAAAAAAATAAACTTGACTATGAACACCTACACTAAAATGCATTGAACATAACTGTTTTTAAATAAAGAATGTTTCTTTCTCCTTGTCTCCGTAAAAATTGGGAAGGATAGGATTTATATATTTATCCCGGGAACTAATTAGGAATAGCCCACCCAGGCCATGTGAGTATACGTTGAATCTTTTTTGGTGTTTTGATTGCCATTTGCCAGTTTTGAGATAAATTTCATAAACATGCTTATAAATTAAATAAATACCGTAATGATTAGCTTGCCTTCGAACGAGTTTCTGATTGGTAACGTCAATTAAAAAACGAGTTAGAAAGGACCTGTGATCAGACTGAGAGAGAGAGAGAGAATTTTTATTGTTTCGTCAAACCAGAAAACACATACAATATATATATATGATAGCAAAATGAGAAAAATTAGGTTTCGGTAGATGACAGGGTGGTAACGATACGACCAGTAACAGTCATCTGAGTCGGTTACCAACCAAAGCAAGCACACGAATAAATAAATTAATACCACAGGTTCTGTAATATTACACTTTCAGGATATACATATGGAAAAAAAAAATGATATCTGATTAGAGATGAGAAAAATTTCTAATCGGGATTGGGAAGTTATTCAAATAAATTTTAAATAGAGAAGAGCAAAAAATAAGAATTCCATACCAAATTTAATATTATTTATTATATTAATTTACACTTTCAATCTGTTCCGAATCTTCTTTTGTGCTTACACATGGTAAAATATAAGGGATAAGATCACAGGGAAATTGAAAGTTCTATGAGTGACAATAATGTGTTGTGTGAAGAAAACCATAGATTGAGATATGAATTATAGGCATAATAGTAATACAACTTTATATTTTCAATTCATCAGGGTGAAGAAAAAAAGCAGGATGCATATGGAACTTCTGCGAGATTTACACATTACTGCGCAGAACAGGTATTAAGATGGGAAACAATCAGATTGGCATTGCAACCTTTCACAAATAATTTAGAAATAGTCAAATATGACTATGAGTTGAAAGAGATATGTGATATTAAATAAATTTTGACAAGGCTGGGTCAAATTAAATCACGATAGCACAAAATATATTTCGTCTTGTAGTAATTTATTGCATACACGAGGTTTAAACTATTAGAGATTCTGAACAATTAGCAAATTTGTCTATATCACTATTGCACATTAATTAATTTGCAGTATATTAAGTACATACATTAATTGATTTGCAGTACGTTTGCGCGGAAGTCAAACAAAATTTGTACTTTTAAAAATTATACCCACCAGTTTACATGCTCTAACTCTCTGAAACACTTCGAAATTTTGGGAAAATACTTAAAGGAAGAACTCTTGAAGGGTCAAGGGTCGGGGAAACGTTCATCGCCAAACATGCATGAGTTGTTATGACGTCATGGCTCAACAAAAATCTACGTATTCGGAATTCGGATTCGTGTGGGTAGACGAAGTTATCAAGTCAGCGAGCTGTCAAATGAGTTATTTTTTTTTTCATTGTATTTCTATTGCAACGTGTACGGTATTAGTTGTGGTTTGCATTTCCGCTGCTGTAGGTACGTGTCGGTTTCGTCGAGTTACACAACACGTTTTCCGGCAGTCCGGCGATTGGTTGGCAGTTGGCACAACTTCACATTATAACTGCCTGGTACCGGTATACAGTCAGAGAAGTACCGGTATACAAGCTTGTGTTGTTGTGTACCGGTACGACATGTTACCGCTGCATTACGGTACTGGTATTACAGTATTAGGATACGGTATTCAGCCTATGTCATAAAGCATAAAGCCAAGTGTTCTATATTAATTCTGTACCGGTAATTCCCAAAAGTTTTTGCAATTATGCTCAATCCTATCCTACATCCAGACATCACAGCGCTAACTTACATCTGGACACTTGTTACCAGTAAGCTTATATTTAGCATAGTCAAACAATGATTTCATCTTATGGACCTGTCCAGCAAGCTCTACTCGGAACTTTGTTTACATGGGGATTGACTGCAGCTGGTGCTAGTCTTGTATTTGTATTCAAATCTGGAAAAGTGAGTATAAAGATATTTTTTTCAATATTCTTAATCATAAGCTGTAGAGTATGGTAGACTACTATTTTTTTTCTGTTTACTCCCCGTAATAATACTTGTAGTTCAGTAGTTGGTACCATTACGGTATCTTCATAAAATTGTGATGATAAAAGTTTTCATCTATGTCTATGGGGAGCGCTGTATTTTATACAGACCAATTCAGAATTGATTGCCTGAAAAGATCTTTTTATTTTTCATACTAACTGAATCTATTCTATTTTCAGCGAAAAGTTTTAGATGGAAGCCTAGGATTTGCTGCTGGGGTAAGGTTTTAAATTATTGTTGTTTGCAGAAGAAGACTTATTTTTACAATATATCCAAAATTAATTTTTGTCTAATTCTACCTCTTACACAATGACTGAATGAGGTTGGGTGCAACTCCCAAAACTCGGGTGTTACAACTCAATTTCACCCCCATAAATAGCTTTCATCTTTTTATTATCTGATTTTTGTAATACTCACAGATATTTTGACTTTTATTCATTATCAGGTAATGATTGCGGCATCATACTGGTCATTACTTGCTCCTGCAATTGAAATGGCAGTATTATCTGGTAATTATGGAAAAGAAGGCGAATATGCTTTTATCCCTGTGGCGGTTGGATTTGCTGCTGGTGCACTATTTGTCTATGCTGCGGATATTTTAATGCCTTTCTTGGTAAGTATTAACATGTTTTAGATTATTAAGCTTACTGAAAGTGTAGCTGAACAATTTCTTTAAAATTAGGGAATGCTGAGTGAAGATATCAATAAAAAATTTAAAAGGTTCTGCGATTGATGCATCTTGTTGGATGTGAGGAATAATTATGTGCTAAAGCAGTGGTTTCCAAAGTGGGGTCCGCGAAGCACTTTCGGAGGGCCTGCGACAGAAATATGTTGTATAGCTCATAGCTTGATAACACAAAAATTTAGTGCTTAAATTTGCAAATACACATTTGTCGCCTTTTGCTGCTTCGCAATCACTGCTGAAGACACTGATTCTTCACTTACTGTTTGAGCGTGCTGCCACATTGTGATGTCACAGAGCTGTGTGACTGTAATATCACGAAGAGAGTTCAATTGCTGCCAATACAAGTTAATGTGTAGCTGACACTGCCTTTTTGTATGTTTGTTGGTATAGGAGGCAGTTACAGTAGGCACTAGGCAGTTTATAAAGTTATGCTGTTTTACAACGAAACAAGTGCACCATCATATACTTTTGTTCGTTTTAATGTTTTTCACCATACCGCGCATTGATTTTTTAATGTTTTGTTTTAGTGCACAAGGCCGGGAATCATTAAAAAAATTGCGAGGGGGCATCATGGAATTTTTTTTTTATTTGAGAAATACTGTGCTATTGGATTTCTAGAATTGTAGCCATGTTAGGGTGGTACTGTCGACCGAATGAGCGATCGTAGTTTGCCATATGATCAAGTTATTTATCCTCATTCCTCTCTCTTGGGATAAATGTGAAAATCCTATCCTTGTTTATAACTGTATTATAATAACAGGGCAATCCAATGGCTTCAATAGCTGAAAATCCAAAAATAGAAGATCTTCCGATGTCTTATGTTGAAGTAGAATCTAATGGTACTGACAATATGGAAAAGGGTGAATTCATATTACTTGTTATTTGGCTCATCAGAATTACTACAAAAAATATAAAATTGGTTTCTGGTACATTTCAACACTGTGGTATTCTAAATATATTATATAATGAAATATTTAATTCACAGAACCGAAAGATAACAAACAGGGTAGATATATGATAAGTTATGAACGAATAATGGTAAATATCTGTTGAGGTGGTGCTATAGTACTGATCGTGTGGTATTGCATTAATTTATATGCTGATTCCAAGTGAAAATGGCTTACAAATATCTGGAGTTAGTTCAGATTTTTATTGCATGAGATATGTTTTGCATCAGCATGCTGTTTGCGTAAATTCAAAAATTGGTGATATTGAAAGGGTATGGAGTATGACCAAATGAATTTATTTCATTCAATGCTTCTGTAAATCTATATTACAATTTGTTTGGTGTATGTACGGGGTGCATGCCGCACGTTCGTTTTTTAGGCCAGTATGGTCTTGTGCATACATCCCGTCTTCAGTAATGATAATTCTATCTACGCTTTTGTTAACATACATACATGTTAGGCTTAGCTGGCTTCCTGGATGATTCAAATAAATCACAACTCAAAAGCAACAATTCATACATAGGAAGCTACTCTGTCGGAAGCAATGTAATATTACTGCTTTGGTGTAGAGCAGGGGTTCCCAAACCGCGGCCCGCAGGCCAACTCCGGCCCGCGCAACGATTTAAAATGGCCCGCCGAGCTTGAGTGAAATAATGAAACAGATTTTTTTACAATCTTGAAACCGCCAATTGTTCATAGTTTAAGCTCGTGTTCATGGTAACAATTCGATTATGTACGTACCGGTATTAGGATTACATAGGGCAGTAATTTAGTTATAAGCCATATAAGAAAGGTTAGAGATGCTAAATAATAAACTAGACTCTGAAAATAGACGTTACTCCGATAAATGGCATCCGTATTTCTGTATTGAAAAGAATCAAACTTTAGCGATTTGTCCACTTTGCCAGCGAATTATTCCAGTTCTGAAACAATACAGCATAAAGCGCCATAATGAGACAAACAAACATGTTTCAAAAAATGTCAATTGTGAATCCACTGAACCCCATCTAAACCGTCACACATTTTCGGGGCACTATACACTCTTCCGGCCTGCGGTCAATAAAGTTTGGGAACCCCTGGTGTAGAGCTACTGGTACTCCTCAATTGGCAAACATGAGCAGAAAGAGGCTCAAGCCCGACACCTTTAACCATACAAGATTACTATTGCTTGCAGGTACAACTCTGACACAAAGAAAAAAATCTGAAGAGAACCATACAAGCAATGTTTCGAAAGAAACCCTAATGTATGATACTGTGGAAACACAGAAGCAAGTTTCATGGAAAAGAATATTATTGTTAATAATAGCGATAACTGTGCACAATATTCCAGGTAATAGTTGTATGTTTTATCCCCCATCGCTGCCATGTAGATTAAGAACAGTGGCATAGCCGAGAAGTCCTGTCCACATGCTCAGCAATATATAGGGTTACCAACAACTGAATTGACCGAAGGGCGCCACACGGCATTGAATCGTAAGATTTATTCTAAAGTTATTATGTTGATTGAGCTATCAAAGAATATTTGGTGAATCAGTCGGCTCACCCACACAAAAATAGTTCTGGCTGCATTCTTGGCTTGTGACGGCAGCTGATGAAGCTGACAGAGGAGGAACTTGCTTAATGTGCCACAAGCTGAACATGTTTGTATCTGAAACTATTGAAAAAAAAAATTTACCAGTTCCTAATGTATTTCCAGAGGGACTTGCTGTTGGTGTAGGATTTGGTGCTGTTGGAAAATCTGCCTCTGCAACATTTGAGAATGCCAGAAATCTTGCTATAGGAATAGGTATTCAAAATTTTCCTGAAGGACTTGCAGTCAGCTTGCCCTTACGTGGTGCTGGCATGAGTGTTTGGAAAAGTTTTTGGTGAGTATGTGTACATTCATTGCGTTCTGATGTAAGATCGCATTCGGCGAGCAAAAATCATTTTTATATTTCCAGGTATGGTCAATTGAGCGGAATGGTGGAACCAATAGCAGGGGTTCTTGGTGCTTATGCCGTAGTTGTAGCAGAACCTCTATTACCCTATGCACTAGCTTTTGCTGCGGGAGCGATGATATACGTCGTAAATGATGATATTATACCTGAAGCACAAACAGGGTAACTTTAGTACAACTTTGCGATTAAGTATCATAAATAGTGGCTAGTTTTGGGTTTTGTCTGGTTATGCATTCAGACAATTTCTATAGTGGGCGAAGTATAAAAGTGTCTTGAGACTACCAAGGGCAGTAATGTATTATAATCACATACTCCATGCTATATTACTAAACCCAATCGTTCCAGTCTAGCTAATTGACAGGGCACAACTGGTCTCACACTTTCCTTACATATGTATAATTTTGTTACAGTGGAAATGGGAAGCTTGCATCTTGGACATCAATTGTAGGTTTCATTGTGATGATGTCACTAGATGTTGGGCTTGGATGATGGGTCTGTCCGTGGTCACGAAGCTCAAGTCTATCTATCCATTTTAGTGCAATTTGTCACTAGGTCATTTTGTTAGTGCAATATTCTTTCTAGAAGCATCATTAATTATGCTGGTCATAGAAATGTCACGGTGCAGAATTAAATATATAGGACCTACCTAGGTGGTTATCATGTAGAAGTCTTACGAAGCAAAAAAAACAACTTTGCATTCTTATTCAAATCATTTGTAGCTACAACTTCATATCTGCCAAATAGTGCTTTTACATTACACACTAACCCAATGGAAAAGAATTACTTGTTTGTATTAAAATATAGCAATTGATTATTGATATGTATACAAGGTACAACAATATATTTTTCTAATGGGCATGTACGATTCTGTTGGTCCTGTTTGATAAATCAGAGCAGCTACATTTGAAGAGACCTAGGCAAACAGTGTGGGTAGATCACGATTATGGATCCCATACCGCAACTAAACCTTCCCCGGTTGCGACCGCCAGTCTTTTGCCTGTTAGTGACATATCTGCTACACCTCCAGATCTTCTTAAATGTATTTTTGTCATGTAATCAGGATCAAATGTGGGCAGATAAATCTAAAAAAAGAACAATTTTGTGTCTATATATATGCTTAGTGAATGCAAAGAAGGGGCCCCAAAGCTAGGCGAAAAACTGGCTTTACTTTCCAAGAAAACTCCCAGATGATAAGGTTATTATTAACCTAATGGGATTTGGAATATACCAATTAAAATAATGCTATAGACAGTGTCCTGAAGGGCCCATAAGAGGTTGAGAAGTAGAGTTTACCACTGTTTAGAAATACAGGAATGTTATATGTTCCTTCGCGCACATGGGATTCCTTTCTCTCTATTGAAAATTAGATGTAACCTACCTTTACCCACCCATCTGCATTGCCAGAATACACAGCCCCAGCTGTATAAATTAAACTGGAAACTTTCCAGCGATATCCAAATGTAAGCTCTGTTGCTAGCAGAACATTCCCAAAATCGCATGCATCATACACTCTTATATTGCCATTTCTTAAACCAGTCCATATTTGATCTTTTTGTACGCTGAGGGACATGGCGAAACTGGGACTTTTAATCTGAAGTAAGAAACCAGAAACTCTTACATCATAGAACTACGACACTATCCTCAACTCTCAAGGATTTGGAGTGGTACAGGTTGTAAATTGATATTCGTAGCTTGGGTTGACTTTGGAATAGTGTCATGAATAGTATTTCCACATTTGATTTACGACCTTCAGTCAACTCCAAATTCAGTCCATATTCACAAAAATTAACTATGTTCATTTTGAGCTCTGCTCATAGAAGTTTACGATTCTTAATTCTAACCTGGGAATGGGAAATGAGCCCATATAACAATTTTTGAAATGGCAACGTTTTCATGTTCATGACTTGTTTACATAAATTATTTCAGCATTAAAGACTTTAATAAACGTTGTACCAATATTTGATGTGGATTTTTTCACACCATCTCATAAAAATTCAAATCACCCTCTTGAAGAACATTGAAATTCTTTTATCAAGAATGACAAGTAATCATCTTCACAGTTGAAACGATCATAGGTATCATTTGTTTCAACTTTCAAACTGCCTCTTCCTATGATGAATCATTGAATGTTGATACACCACTACCTGTAGGAATGTTGGTACACAGTGATCGGATTGAGTTATGAATAATTTAACATGGGATATTATCATATTAACAGGTTTTTTATCAGTAATTCTTCAGCGGAGGGTTATTAAGAAGACCGAAGAAAGCTACAAACTTCATTTTCAAGTTGGGCATTCTATTGGTATTGACATGAGCACTTTTAGCCTCACGTCAATCCGTACCTACTAACACATAATTCTTCACTAAAATGATTTATAATCTTCGTAGCCCTTGGTACTTAAGCGACATCTGTAATTTTGCTCAGAGATTAATCTACTATGATTCTGAGAGAGTGTGAGTGACATTACTTCAAGCATGTGAAAAAAATACATATCTTTAAAAACAAGCTGTTAGATATTAGACAATTTTAATTGTAATCTGGAATACAAAATCAGAATTTGAAATGAAGCTGATAATAATAATAATAACAACTTATTCAAACCTCACTTCTGGTATCAACAACAATTGTCTTTTTATTGTAGCAGCCTGCAATCAGTGTATTATCATCGATATAAGATGAACAAAGTATTGCAGTTCGTGCGTTTACTGATTGTATCATATTCAGTGTATCAACATCCCAAAACTTCACAGTGGAGTCAAATGATGTACTGCAAAATTGGTTTCCTTGCGATGTGATTGACCATACCCAGCCCTGTATATTGTAAAAATATGGAAAATACCTACATATTATATTCGAATAAATAGTCAGCGATTCGAGAAGCCTAGCTGAATGATACTTACGTTATGCTGCATCAAATTCTTGTAATGCAATTCGTTAGGTTTTGCACCTATGTTCGATCCTGGTTCTGGATTCAATTTCCAAACTGTTATGCTTCTATCTCTTGATCCGCAGATGCATAGAGATCTGTTCTGAAACCAAGTTGTTATTATATGCTTTCATATACCATAAAGGATAACAAAAAAAATAATGACTAAGACTATAAATTCTAAATAATTTTTTGAGTTTTTACAAGATACTTCTGAGTAAAGAGAAATCAAAATTGTCAAATCAGGGTTTTATCAGTATACCAGATTATTATGATGAAACTTCACAAAAGTGGTTTTCAAACTGTGGGGGGGGGGGGGCGTAGAAAATTTTTTGAGGGGACATGAAGGTAATAAAAAATGAAATTTTTCATAAGGAGGATGCATGTAAAACCTTTCAATATACCTTCATTAAGTGAACTGCGTCAGTTGCAAATCCACTTGTTTCGCTCAAAGTTATCATGTTGTTGTTCATATCCAAACCTTTCCATGTCTTCTCACAGAGTTCTCTCTCTTTACAAGCTTCTTTCCATGACAAATCATCTCCTATAAGAACAAAATATTGAATAAAGTCTTGCCTTTTGACAAAATTACACCACTTTTAATTGAATGAGACTCGATATTGCTTCTGAAAAGTTGAATTCAAATATTTCATTCACACTGGAACATAGCTAAATTTTCACAACTGAATATATACAAAAAGGCCCCAAACTTACCCTGAACTATTGGAAATGGTTGAGGGAATCTTTGAAAAAGACGAATTCTCCAATACTTTTCATTTGAGAGTAAATTCTTAAGAAACTGGCATACATCAGACACAGTGTTCAATAAGTAGTCAGCTTCAATATAGGAAAAAATATGTAACAAAACTTCTTGAGGTAGTTTTAACAAATGTGGCTTTTGATCAATTTCTTGAGAAGAGCTAAAATCCATCATTTCCCCAACAACAACTGCTGCAATTGACGTCTGCTTGCAATCACAAGGTTCTGCATCATCTGGAGTTTCCATGACCAAATGCTTAGATTCAGAGATTGCAGGATTAGTAATGTTCAGTCTTTTGTCTTTAACGATCAGAGGCAGATAGCCTGAATAGACAGATACAGGGCAGAATAGCGGAACAATCTGACACTGCGTTGTCGTTGGGAATGAAAGTAAACACAGAAACAAGGCAGACTACTAGACTATAGGCTACACCAAACGGCAAAACTCTAATGAGATAACCAATTTACTTATATACCATCATCGTCAAACATGCAGTAGAATCGTTAGACTCAAACAAATCAGTACCGGTATTCAGTAGTCTTAATTAAGTCTACATTATAACAAGAGAGCTATGCTCAAATATATGGACACGTAGCGCCACCCAATGGCAATAATTTTGATGACGTCATAGCGAAAAAAAAAGTAATAGCCTTCTGGAGAAAAATTTTATCTTCAACCACTGAAAATTTCAAAGCAATTGGTCCAGTATTCGAAGAGAAAAGCGACTTTTTAAAAACGTGTCAAAGAACAAGAACAACAACAAGGACAACAAGAACAAGAACAACAACAACATAATATTGAAACGATCGTTATGTCCACTACGTGTCCAATAATACACAATTTTCAAAATGGTTCGAGTTGAATTGCTCTACTACGCGACCTTTGACCTCCCGAGTACGAATCGAATGGACCTTTCCCCGATCTTTGACCCCCAAAAAATTCTTCCTATACTTTACCACTATAAAATTTTCGGGGCTATTTTAAGAGTGTTTTCGCGAGTAGGCGCCTCTAAAATGGGGTATGTGATTCAAACCATCATTATGATTAATCGCATACAACAATCTGTTTTTTAAAGGTACCGGTAAAGAATTTTAGCTTAGATTCAGATTCAGATATTTATTTTTCGTCGTGCAAAAACATTGTACATTTAAACAAATGGTAAAAATTAAATAAATACATTGAAAGAAAGAGGTACAATATTTGGACTGCAATAGACGAGGGATCGCGAAAAGACTATCAAAAGTCATCATGTCAGCGACACCATTATAGAAGCAGATTAAGTCAAACAATACAGAAATAAATCAGCAAAAATAAATGAAACAATTTGGGAACTAAAATGTACGTGAGAACAGAAGATTCGATTAAATAGAAAAAAGCATTGACGAATTTAAACAACTCAACGCCATGCTCCACCGAGCACGCCAACAACAAAGAAATTGCTGACGTGCGTGACGCAGCATAATGTTGTTGACTACTTGGGGAATTCCCTGCAGCAGCAGCAGTGGAACTACTAATATAACCAATGAATTATGATTAAGAAAAAGACATATTCAATTTATTTTGGATTGCAAAGAGCACATATATATTGGAAAATATTAAACGACATATGTGAACTACAATGGATGAAAGCATATTAAAGAAGCAATGACTATTAGAGGTAACTAAAGTTTTTGAATTTTGTCTTTGTTATAAGAGTTCATAATACAGTTATTTTGTGAAGTGACTTTCATAAGGAGCACATGCTATTAAATAATAAAATAGCAGTAATGGAAGTCAATAAGGTGAAAGGATACCTAGCTTATTATAGAATCTTGAGCAAATAAAGGTAAGAAACACAAGTGCTTTGTGAGAGAAAGTCATGCTCTGTGAGCAGCACATACTATTGGAGTATACCACAGTATTGAAGAGCAAATAAAATAATAATAATACAAGGATAGTGATAGCATATCATGAGAATAATGACAAGATGAAGGTAACACCCATAATTTGAAAAAAGTGAGTTTCAAACAGTCTGAGATACATTTCAACTCTGCCAGCCTACTGACAGATATAAGAATCTAAGTAAAGAAATTTTAGTGCTTTTTTGAATGAATTATAAGTCTTAGAGCGAAGTGTGTCTTGGAGCGTATTCCAGAGTTTCACACCGATGAATTTAATAGAGCTTTGTGAACGATTGGTAGAAAAGCGAGGCACATGGTATGAGCTATTGGCAGCGGAACGAGTTGAATGAGAGTGAACACTCATCTGTTTGACAAAATAGTATTTAAAAGCCATAGGCAGTTTATTGTTTAGGTGTTGGTGCATGAGTTTCAGTATCTCGATTTTATAAATGTCTGACATTTTGATTATTTGATTCTTATGGTAAAGAGGATCTAATCTTGACATTGGTCCAGCATGGGTCAAAGCACGGATAGCCCTGTTCTGTAATACTTCAATCCGGTGTAACAAAGTTTTATTAGCTGATCCCCAAGCTATAATACCATATTGCAAATGAGATTGAAACAGAGCGAAGTATATCATGCGTAACGTAGACAAAGAAGTATAACGCCTAAGCCGATAAAGCATTCCTACCGCCTTGGCTAATTTAACAGCAGTGTTGGTTATTTGAATGTCCCATTGCAGTTTGTTATCAATGTGGATGCCAAGATATTTGAATGAGCTAACGTTGTCAAGAATAGTTCCTTCAATCTCAATTTTCACAGATGTCTGTGATTTGGATTTACTTGGAGCAAACAACATAGTTTTTGATTTATTTACATTTAATGTTAATTTGTTTTGTTTCATCCAATTTGCTACTTTTCTTATTTCAGTGTTCACTCTGGACTGAAGCACATCCGGAGACTTGTCGCTATCTAGAAGATTGGAATCATCAGCAAATAATTTTGTAAATAATGAGGAGCTGTGTGCAAGATCGTTGATGAAAATAAGGAATAATGTCGGGGCCAAGCATGATCCTTGTGGGACTCCATGAGTCACATGTAAGGTGGGGGAACAGTATGAACCCATTTGAACAAATTGTGTTCTATTTGTCAGGTAATTTGCCAGGAGTTGGCTCGCTACTCCTCTAATTCCATAATGCCACAGCTTATAGACTAAGATTTGGTGATTAACAGTGTCAAAAGCTTTCTTAAGATCTAAGAAAGTTGCACTAATATATTCTTTTTTCTCTAATTTATCGTATATATGGGATATAGTGTCTAGAATTGCATGCGAAGTGGAATGTTTGGCTTGAAAACCAAACTGTGATTTATTAAGTACACTATGTTTTGTGAAAAAATCCATTAGCCTCCTATTAATTAAGCGTTCGAATACCTTGTTAATAGCAGATAGAATAGATATGGGTCTATAATTTGATACATGTTTTGTATTACCAGATTTAAAGATCGGAATGACTCTGGCGATTTTCAATGAAGATGGGAAAATGCCTAATCGAAGCGAGCTGTTAAAGAACTCTGTCAGACATGGTGATAATATATCTGCAACATATCTGAGAAAGCGACTGGGAATGCCGTCTGCCCCAATTGCCTTCCCGACCCGCAGGGTAGCTAATTCTATAGTTAGTTCGTTCATCGTTGCTGGACTCAAGAATATGGATTGGTTTACTCGTTTGCCAAGGTAAATTTTGAAGCCATCCATGTCATTACCGAACTTTTCAGAAAGAGCGGAACCAACAGTAGAAAAATACTTATTAAATTCTTGCGCGATCAAATGATTATCATTTATAGTAATGCCATTTTCCAGATGAATTACATCAATATTTTGCCTAGATTTATTTTTTGTGGATGCAATTTCATTAACAATTCGCCATGTTGATTTCGGGTTTCCTTTATAGAAAGCAATACGGTTTTGATAATAGATTTGTTTAGCATTATCAATAGTGTGTTTCAGTACGTTGCGATACTTTTTAAAATAAGAGCATTGGGAACTATTGCCATTTAGATAATGTGACTTGAACATCTTATTTCTTATGCGAATACTATTGAGTATTCCTTTCGTAATCCATGGCTTTAGCTTTATTCTTTTTTTACGGCGCGACAAGGGTCGAAATGGGGCGTGATTATTGATTAGACCAACAAAAGATTGGGTGAATTCATCAAATATTGCGTTATAGTTTTGAGAATTCAAATATAATGAACGAAAGCGATTGTTTATCAAGTTTTGCGTATCTGAGCGAAACTCTTCAATGCAAAAAGCAGACATATCTCTCGTTATGATGAGATCATTTCTACTAAGTGGTTTGATGCCACTTATACAGCACATGATGGGATAATGATCTGTAATGTCTGATCTAATAACATAAGAATCTAATTTTTTTTTGTTATATTGGAATAAAAATGATCAATAAGTGTGGATGATGTTTGTGTGACTCTAGTTGGTTTGGTAATTAGTGAGATTGAATTGTGAGCAATTAGCATGTTAGAGTAGTTTGTAATTTGAGTGCTACTCGATGTTGCGAATAAATTTATATTAAAGTCGCCCATTATTATAAAGGGTTTACTTGTTAATTTTGTGAGACAGTTTTCAAATATGCTTGTAAAAGCAGGGATATCATTTTTAGGGTGTTTGTATATTATGCCAATACTCAAATTTTTATCCATATTAGCCAAGCTAATTTCTAACCAGAGATCTTCACAATTAGGATAATTTAAATGATATTCTGGGGACTCTGTAGATTTAACATCATCTCTGATGAAAACACCAACACCGCCAGATTTCGAGGCAGAAGTGACATGAAAAAATTTATACCCGTCGAGGCTTATAATTGCAGAATTTTTATGCAATTTCGTTTCGCTAATGGCTATAACATGGGGAGAAATAGAGAATTTGGACAATAGTATAGTAAGTTGGTCAATATTTTTTTGAATAGAGCGAATATTTACATGGATAATCGTTAAATCGGAATCAGATGAAATGTTACTCAAATCTGAAACTTCAATATTGCTACACAGGCAACTATTAAATTGTTCACAGTGTTTCAAACTGTTTTCACAAGTAGGATTATTTACTAATACATTATTACAATAACTCGACATTTACCTATTGAGAGTAAAATAGTAGTAATGGAAAAGGAAAAATTTACCATTAAGTATGAATTGATAACCTACTTTATCAAGAGTAGATCATCTTCAGTGATGATTGGAATCGTAGCTGTATCAGAGTTCTTTTTTATCAGAACTTTCCCATTGTTAGTCCAGAGAAACTTGTAGCCACAAGATTGTTTACGCTCTTTGGCCTTGAAAAACAAGTCTTTGTTGGAGTCAGACAGATTCTCAACAATGAAAAGTTTTGTTGCTCTGGGAAATTTTGGGAAGATGGTAGAAATATCCAGGGATTTTAGCTTGCGACGATTCGTTAGGATCTTATTTCTTGTTTTCCTGTTAATGAACTTAGCAATAATAGGTGATGGTTTCCTTGGTGTTATATTTGAAAGTCTGTGGCAATTTGATATGTCAATAGATTGTAGGGGACATCCAATTTGCTACAAATTTTAGATATTAAATTTTCACAGTTTTCGCCAACTGTGTAAGGATTTATGAACTCTAGATTGTCTAG